AAGAATACAACACAGCAGCCCCAATATCCACACAATAAGTGATGCACCTATACAGTAACAGCAAAGGAAGGGGGTGGTTTTCTCAGATCCTCATTAATTAGGAATAATATTAAAAACCAAAAGCAGAAACAATATGTTTTCCTTTTAGGAAACCGAGGTGTTCTGCCCTTGGATTATTAGATGCAGTTCTGGCTACCACACCATAAAAGGAAATAATACAGTTGGAGAAAGCCCAAGGAAGGGTATCTATGACGGCCAAAAGGATGAAGAGACTTCTTTGTGGAGACAGACCCAAACTAAACCAAAAACTTTTCAGATGAAAAGGGACATGGCAGCAACCTTTGGTGTTAGGAATATGGATAAGGTGTGTATAGACCAAGTCCTAGAACACATATTTGGCACTACCCACATTGGCACTTTTAAAAGGTAAATTTAAGACAAATACTGGCGAAAGGAAACTTTGGCTCAGCAAAGGGAACACATAAAAATGAGTGGATGGTGATTTCTCTAAGGGACTACCCTATTAAGAAAAGCCAAGGCTATCTGCAGATGCATTCTTATACCCTAAAGTTTGACATTCCCCAGCATCACAGCAGCTCAAAATCCTACCTGAGGAGTGCCCAACAACCTACTCCAGTACTGCATTGTTGAGGTTGATAAGGTACAACTTGCTGAGCTCTCATTTCCTTTTCTTCAGCCTCTGGTGGGAACAGAAACTTTCTACATTATGATGCCTTGGAGACAATGATTAAGTTAATCGCTTCTCAAGGTTGAGCGGTCCTAGTCCTTTTATTTCCACTCTGGACCTTAGTTGTGAGCTATTTCCTTATTTCTGTGTCGTGCTTTGGCTCCTGTCCCAGTTCTCTGTGTCCCTTGAAAGTTGTGGAACCCTGAACTTAATACAGAGCATGATTTTGGCTACAGTTTTTGGGAAACAGTGTTTGCTCAGCAAACTGCTCTGTCAGCTTTCAAGAAAGACTCCTTCATTCACTTATGAACACATGTGATACATCCTTTTGACCCACGGACATGCCCATGTTCACAGGCATGATGAGGGGACTTATCTAAAGGAGGGTAAGGCCTCAGGCAATCTGTAGGCCATAACTCCTCCAATATTCTTATCCAGAACAAATCTACTTTAAATGGGCAGAAAGGCCTCAGGGAGAAATAGATAGCGAAAAGGCTCCTAGGACTTTGGATGGGACAGGAGAGCGTGGAAGCCAGGAAAGCTCCAGGAGGCCACAGAAGATAGAAGCGAAAGGGGAAATCCCTTCTACTTGTTTTTGAGGTTGTCACTGTCCAGACTGTAGAAGAAGGAAATGAGAATCCTCAAAGTTTGGTGCTTGGGGTCATTATACCTGTGAAGCCCGAATATCTGAGACAGGTCTCAGTTAATTTACAAAGTTTATTTGCCAAAGTTGAGGACGTATGCCTGTGACACAGCCTCAGGGGGTCCTGATGAGATGTGCCCAAGGTGGTCAGAGCACAGTTTGGTTTCATACATTTTAGGAAGACATTAGACATCAATCAACATATGTAAGACGAACATTGGTTTGGTCCGGAAAGGTGGGACAACTCTTAAGTGGGGAGAGGGCTTCCAGGTCATAGGCAGATAAGAGACAAATGGTTGCATTATTTTGAGTTTCTTTTTTTGATTAGTCTTTCCAAAGGAGGCAATCAGATATGCATTTATCTTAGTGAGCAGAGGGGTGACTTTGAATAGAATGGGAGGCAGGTTTGCTATAAGCAGTTCCCAGCTTGACTTTTCCCTTTAGCTTAGTGATTTTGGAGCCCCAAGATTTATTTTCCTTTTACACACCAATTTACTAAACTCCAGGATGCCTCTGCATATGTAACCCTCACCTACATAGCATACTACTGCACATTGGGTCCCAAGAAAGGAGGTAGATGTTCCCCAGCTATTTGATCATCACCCCAGTGGCCTTTAATAAAGCTCATGACTTTTTTCAGGACCACCTCTTGTTATACATACCAAAGCCTATTTGCCTACTCAGGGAAATTTGAAAGTTTGCTTTTCTAAATCAAGCCATGCCTTGGACCTAATTTCTTAATCACAAAAATTAAGAATTGGAAGAAACCTTATGGATCCTGTGGTCAAATGGACTTTAGTCTGATGCACAGAGCCAGTAGGGATTCCTAGTTGCTCCTTAGGTTATTGAGGGGGACAGGACTCATCCCCACCACCTCTTCTACCAAAGCAGGTGAGATGGAACCATATTTCATTTGTCCGTTTTTATTTAAGATTTTGTGGGAAGAAAGTATCATTAATTTTTAAAAGTCTGAAAATAGTTTATGTTGTTCATTTTGCTTGCCCCAAATTAAGATTTTCATTCAACAGCAAGCATATGATATTCACACATTCAGCTTTAATCAGTAGAGCTGTCTCTTCTGCTTTATTTTACTTATTTATTTTTTTTTTTTGAGATGGAGTCTGGCTCTGTCGCCCAGCCTGGAGTGCAGTGGTGCAATCTTAGCTCACTGCAACCTCCACTTCCTGGGTACAAGTGATTTTCCTGCCTCAGCCTCCCGAGTAACTAGGATTACAGGCATGTGCCACCACGTCCAACCTGTTTCTTCTACTTTTAAGGTTTTATCATTCTAACATTCCTGGCAGGTAGCGGATCGTAGAATGTCAGAGCTAGGGCCAGGTGTGGTGGCCCACACCTGTAATCCCAGCACTTTGGGAGGCCAACACAGGTGGATTGCTTGAGCTCAGGAGTTCAAGACCAGCCACCTGGGCAACATGGTGAAATCCTGTTTCTACAAAAAATACAAAAAAAAAAAAAAACTAGCCAGGCATAGTGGCACATGCCTGTGGTCCCAGCTACTTGGAAGGCTGAGGTGGGAGGTTCACTGGATCCTGGGAGGCAGAGGTTGCAGTAAGCCAAGGTCGTGCCACTGCACTTCAGTCTGGGTGACAGAGTGAGACCTTGCCTCAAAAAAAAAAAAAAAAAAAAAGTCAGAGCTAAGAAGGTCCCTAGAGATCTTCTGGTCCTGCTACTTCAATGTACAGAGGAGGAAGCTGAGGCCCAGCAAAGTGTAAAAATAGCCAGTTGGGCTTTCCTTGGCCATTTCCAAAGATGAGGAGCTTACTACTTAGCAAAGCACTTTTTCCAAAAATTGATCTCATATGTTTAGTAAATAAAATTTGCTTTGATCTTCACCACCAACCTTTTAGCTTAATTGCCTCTTGGTTTGGTCTGGCCCTCTAAGCACAAGGAGAGAAGGAATGAAAAGGTACAGCTCAGTTTCCTCAGCACTGAATGGCAGCAGCAGCAGAGTGAGAAATAAGGGTGAGAAAGCAAGAGGGAGCTTCAGAGGGAATGACTGCCAAAGGAAGTGGCAGCGGGTGCAGAGGGACTGAGAATCTGGCATGTATGTGCCTGTTCAGCTAAACTCAGCTCAGCTCCCAACTGGCGTCCTCTCCAGAAGACCCTCCTTCGGGTGGTAGGATTGCTCTGCAAGGCTAGGTGACATCAAATAGCAGTGTCTTTTCAGGTCCCAAAGCTCCTAAGAGGTCTCTGAAATGCCCTCTGGATAGGGCATCCATTGGACAAGTGGTAAAATCCCAGAATTACAGGGCTGGAACAAACCAATGAGACCATCCAGCCTACTACTCCTTTTATCTATGGGAAATCTGAGCTCCAAGGAGATGGGACCCTCCTAAGTCACGTATCAATAATAGGGCCCAAAACTCTGCTCAGTTTTGTGTTCTGTCTGCTATATGACAATGACAAATATGCATATTGTACTTTCCAATCTTGTGAACTTGATAAGGCAGTTGCTGTTGGGGTTTTTTTGTTTTTGTTTTTTCTGAGATGGAGGAGTCCTCTGTCACCCAGGCTCGAATGCAGCAGCACTGTCTCAGCTCACTGCAACCTCTGCCTCCCGGGTTCAAGCGATTCTCGTGTCTCAGCCTCCCGAGTAGCTGGGATTACAGAAGCGTGCCACAATGCCCAGTTAATTTTTTGGTATTTTTAGTAGAGACGGGGTTTTGCCATGTTGGCCAGGCTGGTCTCAAACTCCTAACCTCAGGTGATCTTCCTGTCTTGGCCTCCCAAAGTGCTATGATTATAGGCGTGAGCCACCGTGCCCAGCCTTGTTATTATTATCCTTATTTTACAAATGAGAAGAATGAGGCTTAAAATGATTATGTACCCAAATCCACATAGCCAGTAAGAGGTAGGTAGAGCCCAGCCTGAAAAAGCTTTTCTGATTCTCAGCTCTTTGTTCTGCCCATCCCAAATCCCTCTTCTAGGGGTCCAGATTGGGCTGGAGTTTGGGTGAATTCCGAAAACCACCTTCCTAGTTGCAGGACTGTTCTGCACTGAGTGGGCCTAGTAAGATACTACATGCATCTGCAAAAAAGACAGGGGAGGCTCCTGGTATAACTAGAAAGTGGTCAAGTTGTCTTCAGGCCCCTAAGCTTTCCCTTTACTGGCACTCTCTCATGACCTACTCCTTTCTTTGTGAATCTGTGTTCCGTGCTTTCTCCATCTCCTCACCCTCCCAATCCCCAATCGAGAAGATCTGACAAATTCACCCAGAGGTCTAATGACTTATAAGCTTCATGGGGGTAGGGATTTTTGTCGGCTTTGCCCATTGATATATCCTAAAGACAAAGAAAAGTGTCTGGCAGATAGGAGATGTTCAATATTTTTACAAATGGAGCTCATAGGGTGTGGGTGTGCTAGACTCTTCCACAAGAGAAAGGCAATGGACAAAGTGCCAGAGAGGCAAAGGGCCAGGTAGAAGAAGGACTGAAGGCCGTGAGATGGCTGTGAGAGAGAACAAAGGGGCAGAAGTGCACAGAGCTACTATGGGGGAGGAGATAGCACCCAGGCTTAAGAAGCCAGGATTGGCAGGGAGTGAAGAGCCAGAGGGCGAGGCTTTGGGAGATCAGAAGACTTAAAGTTGGGAGTGGGCTAAGGAGCCCAGGGTCTGACGCTTCCCTCTTCCTCATGGGCCTCTGTTCACAGACCCCCTGGAGGGGGTGAACATCACCAGCCCTGTGCGTCTGATCCATGGCACCGTGGGGAAGTCGGCTCTGCTTTCTGTGCAGTACAGCAGTACCAGCAGCGACAGGCCTGTAGTGAAGTGGCAGCTGAAGCGGGACAAGCCAGTGACCGTGGTGCAGTCCATTGGCACGGAGGTCATCGGCACCCTGCGGCCTGACTATCGAGATCGTATCCGGCTCTTTGAAAATGGCTCCCTGCTTCTCAGCGACCTGCAGCTGGCTGATGAGGGCACCTATGAGGTTGAGATCTCCATCACCGACGACACCTTCACTGGGGAAAAGACCATCAACCTTACTGTAGATGGTAAAGTGCTCTGGCAGGGAAAGAGGCAAGACTGGCAGGTGGGACTGGGGAAGGGTCTGCCCAGCGCACCAGCTAGACCAAGGGAAAACCAACCCAAAAGGCACTTGGGAGCTGAGAATGAGGCAAGTGGACGTTAGAAGTTGGCAGACAGGCACAGCACAGCTAACATGTAGAGTGATTGCCATGTGCCAGAAACTATTCTAAGTGCTTTGCATATGTTGACTCACTTAATGCTTATAATAATCTGGGGATAGTTAATATCATCATCCCCATTTTGCAGATGAGGAAAGTGAGCTACTGAAAGGTTCAATAACTTGCCCAAGGTCACACAGCTAGAAGTGATAGAGCCAAGATTTGAACCTAAACAGTAGGACCCAGGCTTAGCCCAACTAAAATATCTTCCTGGCTGGGTCAGTTTAAGACATTAAAGCCCAGGGTTCATGGGAAGGCATTTAGAAAGAGGGAATGAGGGCAACGCCATGTCTGCATTGTTCAGCATTGTACCCACTATGCCTAGTTGGTGCTCCATAAATAATCAGTAAAACAAATGAATAAGTGATGGGAAAGGACTGGACTTAGGATGTCTGAAGTCTTCTCAGCCCACAGATTGAGTTGGAAGGTAGCGTTAAAGGTGTGTTCGAAGGCAAGGAGCTAAAAAGGGGAAGGGAGACACTTCTTAGCCAATGACTCACAGGCTCCCCCATTCCTGTGGCTTAGTGCCCATTTCGAGGCCACAGGTGTTGGTGGCTTCAACCACTGTGCTGGAACTCAGCGAGGCCTTCACCTTGAACTGCTCACACGAGAATGGCACCAAGCCCAGCTACACCTGGCTGAAGGACGGCAAGCCCCTCCTCAATGACTCGAGAATGCTCCTGTCCCCGGACCAAAAGGTGCTCACCATCACCCGCGTGCTTATGGAGGACGACGACCTGTACAGCTGCGTGGTAGAGAACCCCATCAGCCAGGGTCGCAGCCTGCCTGTCAAGATCACCGTATACAGTGAGTTTTCCTGCAGGCTTTCCTTTAGGACTCAAAGCCCCAAGGGGCAGGTGACCATGAGGGACTGAGGACATCCCAGAGAATGTCACTGGGAGGAGGGGGACAGCGATAGGCCAACTATCCATGGAGGACACCAACAGGTGGGCAGTGGGTTCTGTGCAAGCTCCACCACCAGCATCAGCAAGGCATGCAGCCTGGGGCTCCCCCTCTCTTGCGTCCATGGCAGAAGTTCTGCTTACCACACCTTGCCCCTTTGAGGTCCCTCCTGCCTCTCTGCTTCTCTCTCTCCCTAGGAAGAAGTTCCCTTTACATCATCTTGTCTACAGGAGGCATCTTCCTCCTTGTGACCTTGGTGACAGTCTGTGCCTGCTGGAAACCTTCCAAAAGGTCTGGGTAACTCTCCTGAGCACCTGAGTCCTTCAATCCATCCCAAACCTATGCCTTTCATCCCAGGGCTCTGCATCTCTTCCCAAGAGGTCCATTCTTCCATTGTGTATGCAACAGCATCTTGTGCTCCCAAGCCCCCACAACCACAGCACCAGTAACAATAGTTTTTTCGCTTGCCAACCACCTTTTCTGGGGCCAGGCACTGTGGCTGTGATTAGCCGGCTACCTTTTAAGTATGATTATCTGCAGTTTAACGGATAATGACACTGAGACTAGGATTGGTTAAATGACTTGCCCACAGTCACAACGCTAGTGACAGACTCAAGGTGCAAAGCTAGATGTGATTCATTCCAAAGCTCATGAACTGTACCCAGCCCATCTTCCTGTCACAAGGCCTCTTTTATGGCCATCAGATCCCTCCCTGTGTCCCCGCTAGATCTTCTGCTCATGTTCAATAGTTCGGCTCATGGTGGGGCTGGATTGATTCACAGGAAACAGAAGAAGCTAGAGAAGCAAAACTCCCTGGAATACATGGATCAGAATGATGACCGCCTGAAACCAGAAGGTGAGCTCCCAGCCACCCATTCACCCATCCCATCAACACTCAGATCAGTGGGCTGCTGGGAAAAGGCAGAACTGGGCGACAAGGAAAACAGCTCTGCAGGGACCCTTCCCCCACCAACTGCACGAAGACTGCAGAGGAGGGAGAGGTTTGGCCAAGGTAGGAGCCAGGATATTCAGATATGTTGGTGGAGGTTGTGGCGGGCCATTTGGGAAGCACAGAGAGTAGGTGCCGGTTGGTGGGGAGAGTCTGTACCTGGGCCAGCCACCCACTTCTCTCCCCTGTGCAGCAGACACCCTCCCTCGAAGTGGTGATCAGGAACGGAAAAACCCCATGGCACTCTACATCCTGAAGGACAAGGTGAGCAGCTCTGGGCTGGGTGCCCAGAAACATGCAGTGAGCCCCTCCCACATGCCTGGTTCTAGGGAGCCATACTATATTCCTATCCCTTTATAGCAGCAGTCCCCAACCTTTTTGGCACCAGGAACTGGCTTCATGGAAGAAAATTTTTCCATGGATGGTGGTGGGGGTGGTTTCAGGACGAAACTGTTCCACCTCAGATCATCAGGCATTGGATTCTCATAAGGAGCGCGCAACCTAGATCCCTCGCATGCGCAATTCACAATAGCGTTTGTGCTCCTATGAGAATTGAATGCAGCCACTAATCTGAGAGGAGGCGGAGGTCAGGCGATAATACAAGCCATGGGGAGTGGCTGTAAATACATATGAAGCTTTGCTCTCTGGCCTACCGCTCACCTCCTGCTCTGCCGTTCTGTTCCTAACAGGCCAGAGACCAGTACCAGTCCTCGGCCTGGGGGTGGGGACCCCTGCTTTACAGTACTCAGAATAACCCTGTGAAATATTTGTGTCATGCACATTTTAGAGATTAGAAAAAACAAGGCTGTGAGATTAAATGACTTGCTCAGGATTAAACAAATCAATGAGTGGCAGATCTAGGTTTCAAACCTAGGTCTTTGGACACCAGTTCTGGTGATTTCCCCAGTATTCCACAACTAACTCTGTCCCAGGTTGTCCACGATGGGTAGAAAGAGGACAGTAAAGGGGAAAAGCACTCAAATCATCGCATTTCAACATTTACTGAACACCTATTACGTGCTAGGAGGCCCCATGCTCAGTGTGGCATATCGCCAGGAAAACCAGACCTGCCTGCAGCCTTCCAGGAGGTGGGCGTGCAGAGGGAAACTGGGTCCCTCCCCTCAGAATTCCAGCAAGCTCTAACACCAGGCGCGCTCCCAGGCTGGGCTGACTGTCCCCTGACCCCTGCGGCGCGTGTCCTTGCAGGACTCCCCGGAGCCCGAGGAGAACCCGTCCCCGGAGCCTCGAAGCGCGACGGAGCCCGGCCCGCCCGGCTACTCCGTGTCGCCCGCAGTGCCCGGCCGCTCGCCAGGGCTGCCCATCCGCTCCGCCCGCCGCTACCCGCGCTCCCCAGCGCGCTCCCCAGCCACCGGCCGGACGCACACGTCGCCGCCCCGGGCCCCGAGCTCGCCCGGCCGCTCGCGCAGCGCCTCGCGCACACTGCGGACTGCGGGCGTGCACATAATCCGCGAGCAAGACGAGGCCGGCCCGGTGGAGATCAGCGCCTGAGCCGCCTCGGGACCCCCTGAGAGGCGCCCGCGGTCTGCGGCCAGCGGCCCGGGGGGAGGGCTGGGGCTGGGAAGCCGGGGCGCGGCGCACTAGGGGATAGGGGAGGTCCCGGCGGGGCGCGGGTGTCTCGGGTGTGGACGCGTATGAGCATGCGCAGACGGAGGCGGGTGCGCGGAGGCGGCAGTGTTGAGGTGGTGAAACCAGGGAGCATTTGCTTCCGATTTACAGGCTGTGTTCTCACTTGGTATAGGTTGTGCCCTATTAGGACCACATAGATTATTAAATTTCTGGCCCAACACCCAAAAGCGTTTTATGGAAACTAACATCAGTAACCTAACCCGCCCGTGACTATCCTGTGCTCTTCCCAGGGAGCTGTGTTGTTTCCCACCCGCCACCCTTCCCACTGAACAAATGCCTGAGTGCTGGGGCACTTTTTTTTTTGGCAAGCTCAGATTAGAGAGGCCACTTTCCCAAAATCCACAGCTGCACGAAGCTAAGGAGAAGCCAGATGCCGGTTACTGGGTGTGCAGGGGCTGTTCTGAGCTGGGGGATCATTGTGAAGGCCTTCTTCCCTGGGCACCTGGTACCTGGGGACCTACGAGGTGGTGAGGGAAGGGTACAAGTATGTTTCTTTTCCCTCTGACCTAGGCCCTAGCAAGGGCAAAGAACCCGAACCTGCCAGCTTGGCCTCCTCCCAGAGCCTCCCTCAGAGGCATGTCATGCCAAGCATTCTTTCTGTCTCTGTTCATGAACAGAAGAGATGGATGGGCTTATTCGTATAGAGAAGTGAATTCCACTTACTCCCCTGGCCCAGAAAACTAGACCAAGTGAGGAACTGTTTTAGCTCATCTAACTTATACATTCGTCCTGGCTTCCTTACAAAACAAGCCTTTCAAACAATCATTGTCCTCAGGAAAGTTGTTGAGCTTCCTCCAGCTGTGAGAATAAGTCCTAATCTCCAGAAAAATGGTGGGGGGAGGAGGAGGCTTATTGCTTCCCAGCATTTCAGGGGAACATGATCCAACCCCTGGCCTCCTGCCACCCCTCTGCCCTGCTCCCACATGCTCGGGTCCCAGGGCACAGAACAAGGGCAGACTCCCTAATCACACTAACATCAAAATAAAGAGACTGGGCCGCTGTGTAGCCAGGACATGCCCATGCCACCACCTATTGAACAGTTCGTAGGAGTGGCAGTAATCTACTGTGTCAGGAGAGAGGGCAATTACCAATCTGAAAGAGAAGGAGGCCCTCTGTGTATTCCATCCCCTCCCCCTTAATGCCTCCAAGGGTCCCTGCATCCCTGGCCCATTCCCAACTTCCTAAACTCTAGCTCTGATTCTCCATCATCCCATGGAGCTATTCCAAGGCCCCCGTTACCCATCACCTACACACCAGGTCAAGTTTTGTCTCAGCCCCAGAAGCACTGACATTTCTAGTTTGCCCCCTCTGCCCTTACCCCAACAGCATGCCTGTCTCAGCTCCCTGTCCCTCGGCACTTCCCCAGGCTCATTTGAGCAGGTGTGCCTTCGCAGTGCCCCTAAACTTCCCAGGTGCCTCATCCATAATGAGATAATGAATGTAGGGGAAAGTTTCTCAGGAAGGTGGAAGAGGCAGCAGGACTTGGAGAAGGAGTACCTGCTGGTCAGCCTTGAGATGCACAGGTGAAGGTGAGGGTGAGATGAGAGCATGCTATACCTGGTGCTGAATCCCTGAGGGGCCAGCTTCCCAGGCTTAAGCCAAATCTGCCTTAAATTGGGGGTGGGGAGGGGTTAGTAAGGAATTGGGGTTTGTTTGTTTGTTTTTGTGTTGTTTTCATCTTCATCTTTGTATTACTAGCATCCAGCAGAGTGCCTAGCACATACTGGATGCTCAATAAACTTTTGATGAAATGAAATGACAACTTTATTCCACGTAAACAAGGGTAACAAAACAAGCTGCTTAAATACACCAGTCATTTCCCGTTTTTTCTTCTGCTTTTCTTTCACATCCTTTACCCTCTTTCCAAACCCCAAATTGTCCATTCCAGAATCACTTACCCATTCATTCATTTGCTTATTTGGATGTTCTTTTATTTATTCAACAAACATTTGTTTATCTACCATGGACTAGGCCCTGTCCTAGACACTGCTGATACAGCATAACTATGTCAGGAAGACAAATCAGTAAACAGATGATTACAATATAGTGTGTAAAATGCAATGGCGGAGGTAGATACAAGGTGCTCTGGAAGCATGTAGATTAGATGTCAGCAAAGGCATCTTGGAGAACAGACCTGAGTTGAGTCTTTCTTAGAAAGACTTGTTAATCTGGTTTTCAAAAGTATGAGAGGACACACTCCAAGCAGAGGGAGAAGCATGTATAAAAGCTTGGAAGTACAAGACATGATGGGGGGAATTCAGCATACTGAGCCTAGCAGTTGATGAAATTATTTCAGGAAAGTATGCAAAGTAGAAGGTGAAGAAAGCTGCAGATAGATTTCTGAGGACATCAGTATGTGTAGAAAGGTTAAAAGGACCTCCCCAAGAAGGCTAAAAAAGGCACAGCCAGTAAGATAGGAGAATATATAGGAGATAACTATACCACACAATCAAAAGAACAAAAGAGTTTCAAGAAAAAGGGAGCATTCGGGACTGCATGGGCAGGGGGCTTACGTATGAAAATAAGTTAAAAGCGCATGTTAAACTTGGCAACAATTAAAACATTGAGTGACTTGGCATAAGTAGTTTCGACGTGTAGTGGGGGTTAAAGCCAGATTGCAATAGGTAAAAAGTGATATGTGGAACTTCTCTGCTAAATACTTGAGACTAGATGTTTGAGAGGTCTTCCTGTTTCAAAACAACTAGGTCCTGCTTAAATGATATTTGTTTTGCATTGCTGGCTTCAAGAGATGGGGGAATTTTTTTTTTTTTTTCCAGATGGAGTGTCAACACTTGTCACCCAGGCTGGAATGCAATGGCGCAGTCTAGGCTCACTACAACCTCTGCCTTCCAGTTCGAGTGATTCTCCTGCCTCAGCCTCCCAAGTAGCTGGGACTACAGGCACGTGCCACCATGTCTGGCTAATTTTTGTATTTCTGGTAGAGACAGAATTTCACTATGTTGGCTCGGCTGATCTCAAACTCCTGACCTCGTGATCCGCCCACCTCAGCCTTCCAAAGTGCTGGGATTACAGGCGTGAGCCACGGCACCTGGCCAGAGATGGGGAAATTTTTAAGCAGCCAGAAGTAAAACAAAATTTAAAAGCACAGTGAGCTCAAAGTACTTAGCACTCATTAAATGTGAGATTACCAAGGGAGGTGAAGCAAGATGGCTGAATAGAAGCCTCCACTGATTGTCTTCCCTGCAAAAACACCAGATTGAACAACTATCCACACAAAAAAAGCACCCTCATAGCAACCAAAAATCCAATGAGTGATCACAATACCTGGTTTTAACTTCATATCCCTGAAAGAGGTGATAAAGGTAAGAAAGGCAGTCTTGAATTGCTGACACCACCCCTCCCTCATCACCCAGCAGCTGCCGCATGGAACAGAGAGAGAATCTCTGCACTTGCAGGAGGAATAGTGCAGTCATTGTGGGGCTTTGCGTTGGAACCCAGTGCTGCTCTGTCACAGCAAGAAACAACACCAGGCAGAACTCAGCCAGCACCCACGGAGGGAGCATTTAGACCAGCCCTTGCCAGAGAGGAATTACACATCCCAATGGTTGGAACTTGAGTTCCAAAAAGATTCATGACCATAGGTTGAAGTGCTCTGGGGTCCTAAAGAAACTTTTAAAAGTCTGTTTAGGTCACAAGGACTGCAATTCTAGGGGGAACTCCTGATGTTGTGCTGGGCTTGAAGCCAGTGGACTTGGGGGGCATATGATCTAGTGAGACACCAGCTGGTGTAGCCAAGGGAGTGCTTGCATCATCCCTCTGCCAACACCAAGCATCACAGCTTGCAGCTTTGAAAGAGACTCCTTTGTGTGGCGTGAGGAGAGGAGCAGGAAGAGTAAACAGGACTGTGTATTGCAAGTTGGATGTCAGCTCAGCCACAGTAGGATAGGACATAAGACAGAGTCCTGAGTCCCCCATTTCAGGCCCTAGTTCCCAGACAACATTTCTAGACACTCTGGGCCAGAAGGAAACCCATTGCTTTGAAGGGAATGACCCAGTCCCAGCAGCATTCATCACCTGCTCACTCTAGAGGCCAGGGACCCTCAATAATTTGCAGGAAGAACTTGCCATTGGCCTTGGGTGAGACTAAGAGACATGTTGACTTCAGATGTCACCAAGCACCTTTCCAGCTGCAGTGGCTATGGGAAGGGGCTCCTTCTCCTTGAGAAAAGTAGAAGGAAGGATAAAGGGGACTTTGTCTTGCAGCTTAGGTACCAGTGTGGCCTCAGTGGAGTAGAGAACCAAGTGAGCTCTTGGGGTCCCCAATTCCAGGGTTTGGCTCTTCAATGGCATTTCTGGACCTGCCCTAGTGGCCATAGTGGAGTCCACTGCCTTGAAAGGAAAGTCCTGTGCTTGGCAGCATTTATAAGCTGACTCAAGAGCCCTTGATCCTTGAATGAACATCAGCAGTAGCCAGGCAGTATTCACCGTGGGCCTGGGGCAGTGGTGGCCAAGGGGAGAGACAACTCTGCTTGAGGAAAGGAGAGGGAAGAATGAGAAAGACATTGCCTTGGGCTTGGGTACCAGCTCAGCTGCAGTAGAATAGAGCACCAGGTAGATTCCTAAAGTTTCTCACCCCAGGTCCTGGCTCCCAGATGGCATCCGTGGACCTGCCCCAGACTGTTGGAAACTTGGCATCCTGAAGTAATGGATACAAGCCTGGTTGGCGTTGCCACCTGCTGACTCTAGAGCCTTAGGGCCTTGAGCAAACATAGGCGGTAGCCAGACAGTGGTTACCACAGGTCTTTGGTGACACCTGGTGCTGTGCTGGCTTTGGGTCTGACTCAGCACAGTCTCCATTGTGGTGGCCACAGGGGTACATGTGTCACCCTTCTTCTAGCTCCAGGCAGCTCAGCACACACAAAGAGAGAGAGAGAAGGGGGGCAGAGAGACAGAGAGAGAAAGAGAGAGAGAGAGAGAGAGGAGAAAGAGAGTGACTCTGTTTTGGAGAAAGAAAAGGAAGAGAATAAGAGTCTATGTCTGATAATCCAGAGAATTCTTCTAGATCTTATCTAAGACCATAGGTTGGTATCTCTTCAAATCTGCAGGAGCCACAGTGTTACTGGACTTGGGGTGCCCCCTAATGCAGATACAGCTGCAGTCACCAAAAACTAAATCACAACACCCAAGTTCCTTTGAATACCTAGAAAGCCTTCCCAGGAAGGAAGGGTACAAACAAGCCCAGACATCAATGAACATTCACAAGCATCAAGACCGTTCAGGAAATATGACCTCATCAAATGAACTAAATAAGTAACCAATGACTAATCCCAGAGAGAGAGAGAGAGACGTGTGACCTTTCAGACAGATAATTCAAAATGGCTCTTTTGAGGAAACTCAAGAAATTTCAAGAGAATGCAGAGAGGAATTCAGAATCCTATCAGATAAATTTAACAAAGAGATTGAAATAATTTAAAAGAATCAAGTAGAAATTCTGGAGTTAAAAACTGCAATTGAAATACTAAAGAATGCATCAGAGTCTATTAATAGTGGAATTAATCAAGCAGAAGAAAGAATTAGTGAGCTTGAAGACAGGCTATTTGAAAATACACAGTTATAGGAGACAAAAGAAAGAAGAATAGAAGGGAATGAACGTATGCCTATGATATTTAGAAAATAACTTCAAAAGGGAAAATGTAAGAGTTTTGGGCCTTGAAGAGGAAATAGAGAGATGAAGGTAGAATGTTTATTCAAAGGGATAATAACAGAGAGCTTCCCAAACCTAGAGAAAGATATCAATATTCAAGTGCAAGAAGGTTACTAAGCAGATTTAACCCAAATAACATTAACTCAAGACATTCAATAATCAAACTCCCAAAGGTGAATAATAAAGGATTCTAAAAGTAGGAAGAGAAAATAAACAAATTACATACAGTGGAGCTTCAATATGCCTGGCAGCAGACTTCTCAGTGGAAGCCTTGCAGGTCAGGAAAGAGTGACGTAATATATTTAAAGTGCCAAAGGAAAAAGAACTTTTATTGCAGAATAGTATATCTGGTGAAAATATTATTCAAACATGAAGGAATTCAAGACTTTCCCAGACAAACAGAAGCTGAGAGATTTCATCAACACCAGACCTATCCTATAAGAAAGCTAAAGAGAGTTCCTTAATCTGAAAGAAAAGGACATTAATAAAAAATAAGAAATTATCTGAAGGCACAAAACTCAATAGTAATAGTAAGTACACAAAAAAACAGGATATCATAGCACTGTAATTATGGTGTGCAAGCTACTCATATCTTGAGTAGGAAGACTAAAAGATGAAGTGATCAAAAATAATAATTATAACTTTTCAAGACAAAGACATTACAATAAAATATAAGTAGAAACAACAAAAAGTTAAAAGTAGGGGCATGATGTTAAAGTGTAGAGTTTTTATTAGTTTCTCTTTACTTATTTGTTAGTTTGTTTATGCAATCACTGTTAAGTTGTCATCAGTTTAAAACAATAGGTTATAAGATACTATTTGCAAGCCTCATCGTAACTTCAAATTTAGAAACATACAACAGATACACAAAATATAAAAAGCAATAAATTAAAACATGTCATCAGAGAAAAGCACCTTCACTAAAAGGAAGACAGGAAAGAAGAAAAGAAGAAGACCATGAAACAACCAGAATAAAAAATAACAAAATGGCAGAAATAAGTCCTTACTTAACAATGATAACATTGAATGTAAATAAACTAAACTCTCCAAACAAAAGAAGTTGAGTGGCTGAATAGATTACAAAATAAGATCCAACAATTCCTTGCCTTCAAGAAACATACTTCATCTATAAAGACACACATAGGCTGAAAATAAAGAGA